ACAATGATATTTAGTCTAAATTCAACACTTAGAAAAGAGGCTTTTATCCAAATTGATTTGCAGACAAGACAATGGAGGAATCTGACTATAAAGCATAAAAATTAAAAATGAAATGCATGTAAAAGAATATTGGTTTTTGGAACCAAATCAGATTTTTCAGAAACTAGCTAAAGCCACTATTTCATCATTTTTATTTTTGTCTTAAATGACCTGCCAGAGCTGTAAAGTGCACTTAGCACCTGTTGCTTGGTAACTGACAGATCCATATGCATTTTAGTGTTAATACAGGCAAGCTGTGTTATTTAAAAACATAATGCACTGTTGAATGTTTCATTTGTAATACGCTGTTTCTTGGCCCTGACAAAAACGCACGTACACAATAACGCATTGATAGCTATTGTTGGAAAGCAATAAGTACAACAGCAGCGTGCCTTCAGAACATGGGTTCAACTGGAAATTTTTGCAGTTCAATGGCCTTGTTAAGCATGCGTGCTTTAGATAAAGGCTAAGCTACTGTGTGTGTTCCCAAAGAACCCGACTGCAGTAACAGATGCCTTCTGAGGTAGTGTAAAAGTAGACACGGGGTAATCCATTAAACCCCAGTATATGGGTGTGTATTTTTGTATTTTTGCCCCAATAGCTGGTCCAGGTATCCTCCATTGCCCACAGCAGTGTTAATATTCTGCACACATTGGGTGCGGCCAAACCCCATTAATCATGTTTGTGAATGTCTAATCTCAACATTACTTGCACTGGTTTCATTTTCATGGCTGTCTGCAAGATTTATAATGGCGTTTGGAGAAGGTGTATGTGGTGTGTGTGCACACAGGTGCGCGTGTGTGTGTGTGCAAGAGATGTAATACACTGTTACGGAAGCATGCTCTTAAGTGTGTCACCTTGTTGAGGAGAAGAATGTCCTGAACGTTCGGTTAATGCTCCCTGTGGAGGTAGGATGGTAGGGAGACAGCACGATGACACACACACATCCATTACTTTAAATGTGTGTTCTACGTGAAATGAGTTTAAGCAAGTCTATATAATGTGTGTGTTTATACTGGTGTGTGCATGTGTGGGTGAGTGTGTGCATGTGTGTGAGGATACATGCTTGGCAAAATGCTTGACCTGGTTGTGTCCTCATTTGTTACCATAGTGACTATAAGTGGCCTTCAAGAGATGTCCATCCAGATGATAAGATCAGATTACATCAATGGAGGGAAAGAGCAGAAACAAACACTGGGGTGAGCGAGGGAATGAGTTTAAACAGGGATGCGAGAGGGTCTTAGGAGCCTTTAAAGTAATGTAGGGATCAACATACGCAGGCTGACTACAATACTTGATTGTCTTGTAAAGATTAATTTCCTTGAACCACCATTACGGGCCTGAGCACAGAGATGCACAATCAAAAACACACCTTCAAATACAACATGATACCAGTACCAGTCAGAGAGTGACAAAAGATGAACAGTACTCATTACCTAACACTAACAGTCTGCTTGGAGACCTGGATGTGGATGACCCTGCTAAATGCAGGACAGAGGGACTGTTTGTCTAGAAGAAGGCTGTCTAGAGACATTGACTGCAGACAACAGACTAAAAGACTGACAATCACATAGTGAAGAACAGGAACTTTTCCAAGCAAAGAGAAACTGGTTATGATACAGTACATGATAATGTGACTACAGTGTTGTTTAGTTCAGTCACTGAAACTGACTCATCTACTGATGAAGGATGAAAAAGTGGAATGACTTTAAATTTTCACATTATTACAATATTGGACATTCTTTTTTAATTAGACAACACCACAAATCAACACTGCAATATTAGATTTAAAGAAAAGCCTGAAGATTCCCACTCACTGAGGAAAACAGATACAGAATACAGTCCTCCAGCAGTCAAACTATTTGTTTTTCATGAAATAATGGCACACAATTTTGTCTTGTTAATGGTTTAGCTGTTCAAGCACTTTGTCATCCTTCTTTCAAACAATAATATATCATTTTACCTTCATGTTCATCATATTCATCATCATTGTCAAGAGAGTAATCATCAGCATCCTCACAGCATGGACTGTCTGCTATAAACCACCACAGAAATCAATAAAGAGCTGATAAACGTGTAACTTTAGAACTTTAAATGGCACAAGCAAATACACAAACAATAACAGCTAACTTGTATGGTTTATCCTAACAAGCACAACACAAATTGTAAAATTTTTGTTGCGTTTTAATTTGCAAACTGTCTGAAAAAAAAATATTAAAAAAGTAATTAAGGATGACTCTTCACTTTTTACTGCAAGCCCTCTTCAACTGCCAAATGAAGCTGTTTAAATAGTTTGCTTTTATTAGATTTTTAAATTTATTTCAAAGAGTTTCCAATTAATATCTTGCAGTGAGCAAAAAAGCCCCCAATAATAATAAACTGTGGATACATATAAGAGACATCATATGGTTCCTACTTGAACTATGGGTTCTACGTTTAACTACAGGCTATGGGATGTGTTGCAATACAGATCTGTTGTATTTACCATCTGAATCCAGATAATCATTGTTCACTAAAAGTGACAGGACACAAGAAATGGATACACTGTTGATACTATTCTCAGTTTTTTTGGATTAGATGCATTATATTGTAACAGAAAATGAGAAAATTATAGACATAATGGAATGGGAATACTACATGCTACATTCTACTGTGTAGAACAACACTATGAGTCTAATCAGTAAAGATCTTCAATGATTACATGATGTTTTAAACTCTTTCTTGTACAACATACAACAATCTATGCCTCAACAGGCTGCCAGTCTTACAGGTGAGCTAATGACAGTTACATGTGTAAGCTTGTGCTCGCTCATGTAACCATGGACTCTAGCCAGAGACTTACTCACACACAAACACACAAACACAGAAATCATTTAGTAAGATTTACCCAGTCTGATCTCATCATAGGGATGCTCCTCTGGTATAGCAGGTGATTAGCAAGGATGTGTGGACATTAACAGGAGGACAGAGATTAGCTTTGGTTGGATATTGGGGGCGGGAGCTAATTATCTAAACACAAATGAATCATCTTCATGTTAGGGGTCCAACGAAGTAGCTTATTTAGCTTTGGGAAACAAATAATACTGATGATTTTTGCTTGGCATGCATGCAAATTCATGTAAGCACACATAGAGAAACTACTCTTGCATCCCTAAATGTGTTTTTGATCTGTCATGATAATCAGACAAGAAAAGATAAAGAAAAAAGATCCTCCTATGTTCCACGATCTCATTTACTTGTTTTACGTCTTCCTGTCTCCCACTGTTAAAGAGCCCTACTACTATTAGCAGCTCATTCATTTATGAATGCAGATTAGATGAGATCCATTATGTATCAAACCAAAGGTCATACATCCCTAAAGAAAACGGCTTCTCAAGCTGAGCCTCCCTTTGTGCCAAGAGAGCTGGTCATTCTTTTTACGATTGTAAAAACACTAAACAGATTTTTCTTTCTATTTTTTTACTAAACAGGGTTTTTCCAGGCTCAGAATGGGCATTGTGGGGTGGCACGATAGTAGAGTGCAGACTTACTTTGTGTTACTTTATTTGATAAAAAGCTTTTTGAATTTTCTGACCATCTGATAAATAAAAAAGTGAATTACACTTAATTACTTGAAACCTTGATTAACAAGATAAGTGTTCTATACACAAAAGAAAGAAACCACAAAAAACAAAACTCATTAAACCTGAACGGCCAGGACCTTAAGCCTTTCAATAACCAGCTGACATCAGTGACATATTTCTCATTTTATATCCTGAGACTACATAAAGGCAGTAAACGCAACATAGTTATGGTTATAATGGTCACTGTTGCATAAGGGAGCCAGATGGTTAACTTGGCCGGGCCGGGGTGCTGGCAGCTATGCAACGATAAGCTCGTTTCCTGCATGGCTAACATGAAATAACGACAAAGCAGTGGGTTTTCACATTAGTGGCAGGGTTATGGATTTGGTTGCACAGACAGAAAAGCTAGTGACAGCAGATCCATTCAGTGGATGGAAGCATACTAGGCTGCTGTTGAGTCATCACATTCACAATAACATTTGTGTCAACCTCGGTATGCATCACTGTTTCATAAAATGCTGTATCACTTGGTTTTCTACAGGAAAAACAGCACTCTGTTAGCTTTAAACAACAGCAGTATTTCCACAAAACAGACATGATACTATGAAAAGGAGGCGTCAAAACACACAGGAGGAGGTCTGCTGAAAAAAAAGTTTGTCAGGGAAGACAGAAGACAGAAAACATTTTGGTGAATACTTCTGTATGTGTAAGGACAGTGAAGGCATCGTGGCACTAGGTTTAGAGTAGTGTTTGAGTGACGCGCTACTGAATGTTTTTAAGAAAGGAATAAGAGGGAAAAGGTATGGTGTGTGTATGTGTGTGTGTTTGTGCATGTCGATCATGTGTGGGGACATTTGTGTGCTTTGGTTGTTTGCACAAAATCCAAATTGAAATGCCAAATTGACCCTTAATCTGTACTTCCTGTGCCTCTGTAGATCTGAGAGCAACATAAGAGGTCTCCGCATGAGTGTTGCCCTACTCTCTCTGGTCTTTCTAAGGACATGAGGGAACTGTTTCCATTAAGCTAATGTGGGTTTGATCCATGGTGATGTATGTGAAGTGGCAGGATGTAGGGATGTGGGGTCAATGCGGTGCTGGGTGTCTGTGGACAGGCGATAAGAGAAGGGAGAAAAGCAGTTGTGTGTTCAGGGAGAAGCACTCTAAGAGAGGAGGAAGAACACAATATATGTATGCAAACCAGCAACCAATAGCACACGGGACCTGTTTGAATTTGCATGCCCTCTCCTTGAAGTAATCACAAATTTGTACTGAGATTGTACACACATCACAAGTGGATTCAAACAGGGCAAAGAGCTACTTGCTTCACTGTAGGTGAAGGGTTGACACACTGTGGTGTGCGGGAGAGGTACAGGGTGAGAAGAATATTATTGCGTTTACCTTCTACGTCATTACAGTCATAGTCTTGAGTGAAGCATAAATGGAGACAAAAGCACACACAAACACATGAAAGGAAAACCACTGCACCTCTGTGTAAAGCAGAAAACAGCACATTTAAGAGGTTAATGAAATGATAAATCAAATGTCAAACTCAAACATCAGCGAAATGACTCCCAGACAGAAAGATTACATAACTGCTATGCAACAAAAAAATCGTAGTGAAGTAATGGTTTGGTCTGCTTCTGAGAAGTATGAGAGCATAGGAATGTTTGATTTTTCTTACACTGCAAGAAACCCAACTTTGATACTCATGCAAGCCACATGTAGTTCTGGACTTTGCAGCACATCGTAAACATTGGTGATGATGGAAAGTTACTGTCATGCTATGAAATACAACATGTTAACAACAGTAGTGTTATTACTACCTACTTTAGTAGGTTTAGGGAGCTAGTCAAACATGTAGTAGCCATCCTACCTTTGACCCGTTCTCCACGGTTGAGTTGGATCTCTCCTTCCCCCTGTGGTGTGTAGGGCTTGACCACAATGAAGGTACGTCCTGGGACGGCACTGTAGAGTTTCCGTTTGGGCCCGCGGGAGCCTGACAGTGCTGGAGGCGTGTGATGAGGTGGGCTTGGGTCTCTCTGCACAGAGCCAGGGCTGTAAACAAATACATATGTCACTGTGGTGATTCCAGGGAGCTGGTAACTGAAGCCTGTGGTCACCGACATGTTCGTCAGCGGGACAGAAACCTGGTGACACCCCCTGGTTGTTATGGTGGCCAGGGAGGGATTCATAAACAAGTTCCAGCACCTGCCAATGAAGGGTCAATAGTCAGTGTTCCATGGGAGAGTCATCAGTGGAGAGCACACCCCTCACAGCCACTACCTCACCTTTCCCTTCTTCTTATTCCCTCTCTTCCCTCCTTAATAGCAATAGACAGTATCCTCCTTGCTCTCTTTTACCTCCTCCTTCTATCTCTCCCCTCTCCCTCGCATCCTAATCGAGGTAGAAGCAGAAACATAACGGTTAGAGGAACTGCACTGCTTCCTTTTCTGTGTGGTTCTGCCAGATCCGTCTGGAAGCCCCCTCCCCTTAGTCCAACACATCCTGAGTTGGGTGTCCAGCAGAAGTCCCCTACAGAAAGGGACAGAAATCCCCCATACGTCCCCAATTCCAGATGCTCCAGGCTGGGTTACAGATCTTGCCTCGTCCTTGAGTCCTGGTTGTCCTGCTGTGGAGGAGAGAGGCTGGGTTTGCTCCCCAACTCCCGTTCCCTCTCCCGGGAGTCCCGCCGCGTCTGCCTCTCCTCTCCCCTCCACCCCTCACACATACACGCTCTCTCACACACGCTCGCACACACTCTGGCAATGCTGCTGCTACTGCTGCTGTTGCTTTGCTCCGTGGCTCCCCTCCCCTTTGACGGCTCGCTCACATTCACACACCACAAGCCCTCTATGTGCATTCTAGCTGTGTGCATAGGCACATACACAGACAGCCCCCTCTGCTCCCGCTAACACTGCACCTTCACTAGCACGGCACATGCCGCCACCAGCATGTTGCTAACACGCCGCTTACAGACATACACACTCGTCCCAGAGCACGATTGATCTCCTGCCTGTCTGCCTGCGAACGTGCACGCACCATGGCTCCCTGAGGCAGGCAGTGATAGCATGTGTATGTGTGTGTGTGTGTGTGCTTGTGTGCAGTGGGGTGGGGGTCAAAAAGCTCCAGCCGATTTGGTTTAATTGTCGCTCCTCCCTCTTTTCCCTCGTCTCAAATCCTTTCCCTCTCTCTCCCATTCTCTCGCCTTCATTTCACCCTGTTATCCCTTTTCTCCTCAACATTTCTCTCTGCTGCGTCTTCGTTCTCTCTCTTTCCTTTTCCATCTTTGCTCTCTCTCTCTCTGGCGGTGAATTCTAATACAGCAGCAGCAGAGCTCCGCCTAGTCTTCATTCATCACTTCTTTGCCACCGCTCTGTAAGTTGCATTCAGCGTCACTCTGCCTCTTGTCTGATCAGAGCTTCACCATAGGTCAAAAAACAAAAAGCAATACATCTATAGTAATCACAAAAAGGAGATTAATAAAAATCAAATGCTTAAAATGGCATTTCACCAATCTGAGATGTTCTTGTTTCTGTTTCACATATAGACAGGAGACTGTATTTTTACTGTAACAAGTGGTTTTCTTATGCCCTGAACTTGGACCTTGATGCTACTCTCTGCAACGTTTACTTAAAAGACAAGAAATCTCTAAACCTCTTCATCACTTTCACTCTCTTTCACTCTTTTGCCATTTCTCCCTCAGCATATTGTATCAGTCACTTTAAAGCCTTCATTCGATCCTTCACCAACCTCATGTGCCCTTTCCTCTTATTTCTAAATCCTTCGGTCTACTCTTTCCCTGATTTCAAGCATTATTTGTCTCTTTCTCGCCCACACTCTCTATTGCTTTTCTTGCTCTCCTCATCTGACCCAGCCTCTCTTTCTCTGCCTCCCTCTCTATCGAAACAACAGCTCGCTGACGGCTTTCCAATTACCGCCGGGACTGAGGCCCAGAATGGCTGCCGCATTTTAATGTCAGAGCCCGAGCACTGAACATCAGCAGCGTGCACAGCGGAGGAAGCGTTACAATTGGAGAAGCAAGGAGTTGAGGCTATGTCAGAATGACACAGATGTGGAAAAAAAACCCTTAAAGGACCATTTCATCCATTTCAATAACTCATATATACCTCCTCCCATCCACTACACTTACTGTGAGGTTGTGTACACAGCCTAACCTTTGCTGGTCCTTGCAATTAAGCTGACTGGACCTGGGTGACACATATTATCTACTGTATGTGTCAGACAGAAGGGAGATGTTGGAGCTGTTTTTGCCCTCTCCTTGCCTGTAATAAATTGCTTTAGTTGCCAAGGATGAGGTTTAAACGGCACTTAGAAAAATTCAGATAAAAATCTTAATGATCATAAACCTGAAATAAAAAAAGAAAAAAAAAGAAAAAGCAAAGTGGATGAGCTAAGTCAAGCAGACAACTACAGCTGAACTGCACACATAAGACTCACTTTGTGTCACTTTTCCTCACCTAATTTATCAAACACGCCCTCTAAATTTAGTGGTCTAATTAAGCTGCCAAGTTCCCATGTTTCCCTCTGCCACGTCATTGGTGTTGCTCCCCTGCTTCGTGGCTCCGCTGCATTATTTATTCCCCTCCAGCACACCACCATCCACCTGTAGGCACCGGGGGGATTTTTACTCATCACTTCCCAATTTGTTTGCGTATTATGTTTGTGGGAAGTGACGAGCTTGGAGCCCAAACTCCAAATTGTAATTATACTCTTCTGCTGTAATAAATTATTCCAAGCTTTGATTTGCCTGACTCAAGACGAGCCTAAATGGCTTTTATTACATTTTCTACTTTCTCGATGTCGTTGTCAATGTTGTATATCAACATTTCTCAATAGAAAGCAATTTCCATTGCAAGAGTTAGTTAACTGGTTGCTTCGGGTATATCCTAGATTGTTTTGTGTTCTCCGTGGTTATAATATTGTTTAACAGCTTCCTGGAAGAGGGTATCAATAAGCTTTCTAAAATTAGTCTGAGATGGACGGACAACAAAAAGTTGACTATTTAAAAATGTTAAAGGGATTTCTAATTGATTTATCATGTGCTGTTGAGTGGCAGCACTCAGCAAAGGCAGCTGGGTCCTTGCCTTTCTCTGGAGCTTTATAGAGTCCATATCATCAAAAACATTCACTGCACTTTTTTTCTTTTCTCTTGTTTTGCTGCAATATTGAGCGTAGCTTCAGAAAAATACAAATGTAGGACCCATTACATCTACCCTTAAGCATGCACTTGTGCACAAACTCCTAATGCAATCTACAGTATGATGGATACTCATCGTTTCCTAGGACACCAGGATTTGTCTCCGTTACGATGGCAACTATCAATTTGAGAAGAAGAAAATTCAGGTAAAAAAAAGAATCCCGAAGAGTCAAAAACATGAACTGAAACTGTAAATTTGTCATAAAATATTTGATTTGATTTATATAAAGCTCCATCCTGATTAAAAAAAAGTGCACTGCAGCTGTAGCAATAATTCAGTTTACACAGATCACACTGACCTTGACACTTAGTATGATTTTATTCCATGTGCAAATACAGTAAAAAAGGCGATGTCAGATAATATAAGATCCAAAAATAAATGTTATACCAGTGACTACACTCCAGTTTAGCGGATAAAACCCTTTGGGGAAAAAGTGTATATGTTTTACAAAAAAGTCATTTTAATTTTCAGTGTACGAGGAAAAAATTCAATAAGCTCTGCATATGATAAGTGCAAACATTTCCATGTCAGTTATCAGATGTCTAATTAGGATTGATTTTGTTTTGTTTTTTTGCAAAGACAGCTAAAAAAACAGATTAATATTTGAACAGCTTGTTAATAAATCTAGCTCTTTCAGTTTGTCTCTGTGCGTGAAATCCCAGCATAACTCCAAAGATGCAACTGCAAATGCCATTTTTACAGATGCCATCAAAACTAAGCCGCCTCAGTGTAGCATTTTCTCACATGACTGCCTTGTCTTCTCAGGTAAATGGCTTTTTCCTCAAATAGCACAGCTCTCTAAGGTGAGATGAGCTCATTATAAACACAGTCATAATCAGCATCACACTTTGCATCCTAATGATCATCAGTCTGTCCTTTGCTTTACTGCACATGAATGGACATGCTATATGCTCTCTCATTCTTTCCTGGGCAACATGGGAGTGTTAATGGCTATCAAGGCCAAAGCAGAATTTGGACTGTGCTCACTGGGCAGAACATATTAAGGTCTTAGACAGCAAATCTGTTTGTACACAGACAGCTTATGCTCTGCAGGGTCTTTAACATTAAACTAAATTAGAAGCAAGAGTCAACTGGTGTGATTAACACATAACTCTAAACTGCGCCTCAATCTCATATGTGGGAGGAGCTCAGCTAAACAAACCCCTTATAACGAGAGTCTTGCGTCTTTTCATAAAATAATCACTATTCACTTTTCACTGTAATATAAAATTTACCCAAGATATGAAATAAAGTATGGGAGGTGTGATTTATAGTAACTTACATCACATGTGAACTCCTTCACATTATGCTTGGCAATGGGCCATAAGCCTGTAGATAGGTGATGTGCTCTATTTATAGAGGACGTTTTCTATAAAAACACCTCAACATGTTCCTATAAAGGTGCAAAGGGAATATGGAGAACCGAGGCCTTTCACTGAGCCATGAAAGTCCTTGATCATAGCTAAAAGAGTTTGATAAACAATTTATTCCTAACTGAAATGACAGATTTTTATGTATCCCGTGGCCTTGCTCACGAGTCAGCCTAAAACAGCAACAAAGATTGCCAGCGCTTATCGATGTGGCACCTGCAGCGATACAGGTGTTGTACTGTGAAAAGGGACCTGATCAGAATTTCAGCTATCACCTGTAGTCAGGAGCTCTGGAAACTGACAGAAAACAAGGCAGTAAAGTTATGTTTGCTTCACAGGTTTTTGGACCCTCAGGGACAAGATGAAGGACTAATGTATGCAGAAAGGATTTGGCATAAAAACCTTGAGGGGACATAAAACAGGAGAAGACCCTGGGGCAGCCCTAGAATATAGTGAAGGGATTACATATTGAATGTGAACTGGAAACACCTCAGAAACCCCAAAGTAGAGCTGGAGGATGTGACTAGTGGGAACAACATCAAGGCTATCATAATTATCAAGCTGCTACCACGAATGAGTGTCAGAGCATGCTGAACAGAGGTTAAGCTACTTGAAGAACTGGTATGTTACAGATCAATGCCAACAGCTTTGGAGAAAGACCAGCTAAAAGTAAACCACATCTACATTATTGATGAATACTGACCTGACTCTGAACATTTAACAAAATGAAAGCCATACATCTAGTTTTTAAAAAGCCTATCCAATCAAAGATCGGCTATGAAGGCCTTGGACCGGAAATGAGTTCATCACAGTGCTAAAATAGAGAGACTAACGACCACTCACACTAACATATACATTTACCACTAATTTGAAACTATTAATTAAGCTAACATGCATGCCTTTGGACTGTGGGGGGAAACTGGAGGACCTAAAAGATGAGAAACCAACCGGTAGGTTCAAAATAAGAACTTTAATGCTGTGAGATGACAGTGCTGCCAGTCGAAACACAAAACAACACTAAAATGACTGCACATAATGCACTATACTGCATGAAATTACCATAATGTGGAATTACTGTGTGGCTAACCCAGTCCAGAGGGCAGTACTCTTTTAAACAAAGATGGAAGAGAAACTGCTAAATGGATCTGTGTTAGATTACTCTAAAAGATCAGTCCCTCTCCCCTGTGTCCTTCTTTGATGTATGAATTTTCCGCAGGTAAAGCAGAGCAAGCTCAACACTCCTTTTTCTCCTTTTTGTTTCTCTACCCTTTTCCTGTCCTCTATGCATACCTCGGGCCTATGGCCGTGTTGAGGTGCCATGAATAATCTTCACACCGCCAGTGTCTGGTGTGACTAATGCATAGAAAGGAAGGATAGAAGTTGAAAAAGAGGTGAGGAGAACAGTAACAGAACAAGTAATTCAAAGTTGAAGGGAGCAGCACACCTCTCGCTTTTATTTGTAACATAATGGTCATTGTGCAGTATATCAGCAGGGAAATGAGGCCAATTCTTTCTCATTAACTATTGGTAATGTTGTGTGACTGAATTTTTATTTAAAATAAACTGTCCCCTAGCCTCCCGTGAGTTGAGAAAAAAAAAGGACGGAAACAACCAACAGCCCAAGCAACGATCTAACGGAGCCTGTGCTGGCTGAGTTTTAAAAAAACTAACTTGGCTCCGAAAAACTGAACAGCTTCATCTCTTATTTAATGTACCCTGGTCAGAGGGCATCTCATATACATACACTTCTAAATAAATACTGATGAAATATTTCCCTACTGCAACTGTGGGGAAAGTTGGATACAAAAGATCAAATATTGTATCTATTGCTCAGCAACATCACAAAGTGTCTATCTGGCTGCTTGAAATCTTTCTTACAAACCCAGACAAATAACTGAGAGCTCAGGTGCACAGTTCAACATCACAATTTCTGACAATGACACTGACGAAACAATGCTCCATTCTTGATGATTAATTATCTCTTTGTGTTGTCAGCCCATTACGGCAAGTAGCCAATTAACCTTTTACGACAGAGCCAAATTTGCTTTGTCCCGATAAAACTGTGCCATATTATCATATTAACATCATGAATCATGTCTAATCATACTGTCTACTACATCAGTTGGAGTTGGAGTGAAAATCGTAGCCACAGCTTTGATTATTGTTAGATTTTGATCTTTAAATTAAAAAACAGAAGTCTAACCTGTTTACCCTTTCTATTGTCTCCATCTAAACCTTTAGCTGAAGGGTAGCCAAATCCTGGCAACACTGCACACACGTGAGGAGGAGGAAGTGATGGTGAGTTCCACAGGAACCTGCTAGAGTGGGCTGTTGACTGGCCAACTAATTTCACACTCCCCTGGCACCCATAATGCCTCTAGAGTTACCACAGGCATAAACAGAAGGTCAGAGAGTGAAACGGAGAGAGGGAGGGAGAAATATTACAGAAAAAAATATCCAAGGACAGCATCAGTCTCACTTGGGTGCAGATTCTGGCCATGGAGACCAGCTGCTCGTTTTAGGCTTTTTATACATTCTCACTTTAATCCATGGCACACTAAAAAAAAAAAAAAAGGTCTCAACGTTTTGTGTACAAAAGACTGCGATATTTCATTTTTCTTTACTTTCATCGTTCTGCCTTTTGTGTCACTTTATGTAAGCCTTGTGCACAGTGACGACAACAGCAAAAGATGTATATCTCTGTCAGTGACTGTTCACGCCAACGCAGCACCAGATATAGTAGAAAAGGACGCACTTACTTTGCTATCATTATTGGACATAACATGCTTCACAGAAAGAGTGGAAGGTACATTAACGATGCGGGGAGACTTTTTTTTAATTAACTAAATTTACTTCATGTATTCCACTTCATTTGTTTCATTTTATTTGATTGTGGTACACTTAGTGCATACACTTTAGACTCTAGAGTTTTAGTGTTTAGTGATGCGTGCAAGTCTTTTATATGATTTAGCAGATTATGCTGAATGTTCTCTGGCTGCAAACTGCAGACGGATGACAAGACTATGGAGCAGTGTTTGCGTGTTTGTGTGTTAATGACAGAAAATGAGGTAAAAAACGTGAGCGCCTGTGAACGTGCGCGTGTGAGTCTCTTTGATGGATGGAGTAAAGTGACAAGAGAGTATTAGAGGAGAGAGGAGTACGGCCGGAGCTGTGTCCGTAATGCAATTCCCTTGACAGACATCAAGCTGTTTCACACAAACACACGTACATTTGCACAGAGCGTGCGGCATCGCGGAAACACATTAGGTGGGCGCTCTATGTAGGTGATCTTGTGCTGATATATGACCATAATAAAAAGCTTAACAAGTGTCTGCAAACCAGTTTAATCTTTTGGTTCAAGATGTGATCAGAGCTCTAGTTTACTGTGCAGTTTGTCTGGTGGTTCAGAGGGGAAGAAATTCGTCCCAGCATCCTGCAGCACCAGTTCATCTGCTGTATTTATCTATCAACTAGGTGACATTACTCAGAGATGTAGCTTCAGAATGTCACCACTGTCTCTCAGTATCTGTCACACAACCCAACATCTGAACAAACACACATTGGCAGCTGTCAATTGGTCCCGGTGGTGATAATTATTAGTCCCTTTCCATCTGTCTGTCTCTGACCTGTGCACGTGGTTGTGTCTCCACGTACGATTACATATACCACATCTGAAGTATGTTATTTGTGATTCCAGCACGATACCGCAGATGGGCTTGTTACATAAACAGGGTTTTTATTTATGCCTAACACTCATCATGTCACTGATCATACCAAAGCACCCTTACAACCCATGGGCCACCCAACAGCTACGCCAAATGGAACCGATACCGATCTGTATTTCAATCTGTCACTACCACAATATTAACATACATTTTTAGATCCAATACACAGTTTTGTAGCCAGGGTGGACTTTCACATGTCAAAGCCTGAATGAATAAACAAGATTCTGTACTGACTGATATTATGTCATGATTATCACAAGCAGCAGACTGTAGCAGATGGAATAGGATGCAAAAGGCTGCCTGGTGACTAACAAGTGATTCAGACACATCACATGGGGCTCTTTGCTCTCTGAAATTAGGTTTAAAAATCAAAGTAGCTAGCAAAATCACAAGGGCAATAAAAATGATGTACTTAAGTGAATAGCTGCCAAGACTGACAAATGTGAGACATGAATTAGAAACAGGAAATAAAAACAGATTCACTTTTTTTTATGAAGCTCTCTGCTAAGTTGAGTATAAAAAACGCAACTGAACGCAGGTTATTACAAACCTGAGTCTTCCACGAGGGCCATGCCCATGAGGGTAGCCGTGGCTGTGGGACCGTCTAGGAACTGGTTTGTCATCTTCATGCATGTGATGTAGAGACGGTGAACGGGAATGGGAGGATCTGGAGCTGCCAGTACTCTGGAGACTGCTGTCAGGGATCTCTCCATGACGACTCTGATATAAGACATGTGTAAAACATCAATCACCTTCCCTGAGATCATCCTTCTCTTTTACTCCTTCACTCTTTCTTATGAATGCATTCTTTTTTTTTTAGGTTTACATTTCATATCTGCGCGACTTCGCTTACTTCTCCAAGGCTGCTGTGCTGTTGCCCAAAAGCAGGCAGACTGCGTAGTGAAGGGACGGGGGAGTGACCCTGGCGGCCACGGGCTTCTCTGGTTGGTTGAGCATGGATGTGATCGTGGTCCCCGTTCAGGTTGTTGTCGCTTGCAGAGCGAAGTAAGGAACGGGGTGAAGGCAGGGGGCCAGGCATCACACGTCGACGGTTGGTGTAGGAGGGAGTCTCCCTGAAAGGCACTAAGAAGAAAAATTACACATAATTATACACTGTTGGCATTTCAGTAAAACCTTAAGATGGATTTCCTAATCCACTGAAGTGGCTTATAAATCTTAGCAATTACCATATTTTAACTTTGAAGGATCAAATACAGATTAAGATAAAAAAAGTATATAGAAAGGGATCACTGGACTTTTTGGAATTTGTTTGCAAAAAAATGCAATTTGTTAGTAAGTTAGTTCACTGTAATTTCTATTTCAGCATGCTGAATGTAAGAAGAGACACAATGCCTTTATGACGAGAGTGAGGCATTACATCCTGCTCACACCAGATGGCAGAGTTTTCCTGTACTTTATTTCAGAGAGAGAAACTACTAAACTCAGCAGGGATCCAATAATCCTCAGGAACATTTTCCAGTTCTGTTACATTTTCATCTCTTTCACTTTTTCTTCTTTGTATTTTCCACTGTATTTAAATTATAATCACTTTCCATGACCTCCTTCGCTATCTAGGTCGAGCTTGATGCCTCTCCAAGTCTACCTTCACTTAATTCAATTCAATTCTATTCACTCAATTCTGCGCTCTGTATTGTAAGGAAAAGCCCACATTAATACAGAAATCAGACGACCCTCTATGAGCAGGCACCTGGCAACAGTGGGAAGGAAAAACTCCCTTTTAACAAGTAGAAACTGCAAGCAGAACCAGGATCAGGGAGGAGCAGTCATCTGCCATGACTGGTAAGGGGTGAGGGTAAGGAGATCGGACAAAAGACACACTATAGAAGAGAGCCTGAGTTTAATAATCATTAATAACTTAAATGCAGAGTGGTGTAGTGAGTGAAAAAAGATGAGTGAAGAAGTAACACTTAGTGCATCATGGCAAGCCCCCTACACCCTAGGCCTTTCGCAATGTAACTAGAGGAGGATTCAAAGTCACCTGATCCAGCCCTAACTACAAGTTTCATCAAAAAGGACATTTTTGAGCCTAATTTTAAGAGTAGAGACGGTGCCTGTCTCCCAAATCCAAACTGGTTCCACAGAAGGCCTGAAAGCTGAAGGCTGTGCCTCAGATTCTACTTTTAAACACCCTGGGAACCCCAAGTTCACTCTGTCAACTTACCAACATCTGATGCTTTGTGGACCTTAACGATTTCTGCCAGGTCAAAGTTCCCAGCTATAATAGCCACCTGGAAATGGGAACAGAGAAACGTACAGGGAGTGGAAAGGAACAACATGAAAAAACATTTCCGTCCTAACTTTTTCACTAAATATTCAACACTTTCAACACTTTGTTGAAGGAGATTGTGTAAAAATCTGTATAGCGCTACACTGACCAACCTCCATTATGTACAAGCAAATTATATTTGATGTGCATAAAACAAATGTCAGTATGTCAGTATCAATTTTCTGCTTCATCAGCTATAAAGGCTGGACTCCAACATTAGGTTGCATATTTCAGTTAATTTAGCTGTGACGTACTAGTGTGTAAACCTTTTGTATACCTCACATACCTGAAAAGCAGTCTGGCTATTGTAGTTCTTTATCTCTTTATTGGCTCCCCGGAACAGGAGAACCCGTGCACAGCTCTCCTGAAGGACAACAGAGAGTTGTGTGTGTTTACCTATAGGAGTATTACATGTCACTGTCCTTCATTCTATTGTATGCAACAGCATACAGATATGCAAACAAATACACATGATGACTCCCAAACACAGATTCTAGATAGACACAGCAATCACTTACATATGTCATTCTTTGGAGCACTTATGGATGTTGTTTTGCAGCTTCTAATTGTCCTCTCAATTAGACACGGACAGTTTAAGAAGTATAAGTCATGTTTAACGAATTGCTTCACATCTACTGTCTGCATTAGTAAAAATAGTTTTCTGAATGTCAGATCAGACAAAGTGCACCTAAAATTAACTCCTCGTCTGTTAACCAGTGCAGCTATTAATGGGCGTATCAGCGATGGGCCAAAGAAAATTGTATGTCTCCAGAACCTGTTTTCTAACATCACATGCTACTGAAAAAGGACGACCAAGAAAAGCACATCACGCCATGGAGGCAAGATGAATTATTTCAAATTTACTAGGAAAAACTTTGAACAATTCGGACATGGTTTTAGAAAGTCAAATATCAAGAGGAGTATAATAATTTGTGTGCTATGCAGCATGACAGTGGTTGCCAGAGGCAGCATTACAAGCAACCTCTTTGATCACTTCCAAAAGAAACAGACTTACAAAACTGTTTGAAAATGAGTCTGACAGAGGTGACAGTGTAAAAAAAGAACAAGAATGTCTCTTGAGAAACGCCTGTGGCTAAAACATGAATTTGTGAATTCAGGAAGAAGCCCGTTCCATGAGGTGCTTTTTAAAAAATACAAGGCAGTTATGTTTGAATTCAATGAGTTTTTGGCAACTAAGGCACTATTTTATGACGAGAAGCGTTGGTGGAAGAACACTAACTGCTGTAGGTTGAATCTAAACAAAAATATGATCTAAAGTACAAAGAGAAGTTAGCCACAGACATATGCCGTGTTCCCACTTCAGAAGGCTTACATTATTCCTATAGACATACAGTAACCTTAACCATAACTGCTACTAGTCTAGCCCTGACACTAAGGCTTCACTCCAAATTTTCTTGATCTACATTATGGCTTTTAAAACCCAAGACAGACAGGTCCTCATAGTGTGACTGTGCATACAGATTCATGTTTCCACAATATGTGAAATAATCCCCACCTATATCCACATCATTGCAGTGATACAGTACAAGGCAACATTTTTTCTAGACTTTCTTGTATTTTTTTTTTCTTTACTGGTTTTGTGCAATAGTTTTCAGATGATTCGAAGGCCTTCAAAGGTTTTATTTGGACACTGATTGCTTTTTTCAGTCCAGTCCTTGTACCTGAGCATTTTCAGAGGGATATTTGCATTTTTTTTTTGCTTGTTAAGCAACTTAACACTAACCTATGAAACATTCAAGTATAAATGTGTCTACATGTAACAGCCAACTTAGCAAAGACCCAATTTCAAATTGTATGCTTTACTGTCAAGTCATTTGTTCCCATTTATTCAGCAAATCTACTAAAAATGCCAGACAGATAATTTGTATATTTGCACTAAGACAGTGATTTTAAAAGCACTAATAGAAACTTAACATATCTCGGCGTGGAAACTACAGTATCTGAAGGTCCTATCTTTAAAAAGAAAAGAAAAAAAGAAAGAAAAAGAAAACAAATCCAACAAAGTCTTAAACAGAACATGAGAGAAGCATCTGGTCCTTCAGTTGATGGATTTTCTGTTCAGTGAGCCCTCATCAGAAATGGTCTCAATGGAAGGGTAGCTTTCAAGAAGCCATTGTTAAGGAAGGAAATAAGGCAGAAAGGGCAAAGAGTTGGAAAATTACACAAGAACCGGACTAAAAATCAGTGGCAACATGGAGGGATGAATCTAACTTTGACAGAAAACGAGCAAGGATCTCAACATTATTAAAGCAGTGTGAGGTCATCTTGGCAGAGAATGGAACAAAAGACAGCCAAACTCCAGAGAAGAGAAGTACAGTTTAAAAAACCCGGAGAACCATTTCTGAAGTTTAGTTAAAAAAAAATTACAAGATATAGGCCGTGCTCAAGAATAAAGGTTGTCATACCAAATACTGACTTTCATGTATGTTTTAATTGTACAAACTTTACGTACTGTATTTCCATATAAATGTTTCCACTTTGTAAATGCTTCAGTAAATAACTGAGTTTTTATGACTTACGTCTTGGACGTTTCCATCTAAGCAAATGTTTAGTACATATTGAATTTACTAATTGTACTATGTCTGGCTGCGCTACACACATGTCTTTGGACTCAAATGTACTCAAATGAGTACATTTAGCAATATCAGCCAGAAAGTGTGAAAGCTCCAGTAAATATAGTAAAATATGTCGCACTTGTGGCATGACATTTTGTAGGTGGTTTGAAAAGGTATTTAACATAATATATAGCTTGTTTGAAAAGCAACAGATTAATTAGAATTCAAAAAGTGTTGGTATAAAAAACATGGGCTTAATTTAATAATAATTAAAAGAAGGAGAAGAAGAAAAAGAGGAAGGAATCTTAACAATTACAGAACAGACTTCCTGATTAGTTCACAACAACAAATTTCCGTTTTACTCTGCGTAGAACTAGTGTGACATACTGTGTGTAAATGAGTACACACCCCTCGGCAAGAAAGCCCAGCTGTAAATTGACAGGATTGTGTGTCCATGTGCTGGCTGGTTGAGGGTCGATATGTAATTTAACACAGAGAGCAGAATTAATAGGACTAACCTTTCACTAAAATCAGCAAAGTGACTCTAGTGACTCTTAGTGAGTCACACACATTCAGGAACATGCATACCCAGATTCATTTATTATGTTGTTCAGTTAATACATCCATGTGGTTTTACTCTTCAGGCTCTTTATAGCAGATGATCCACTCCTGTATGCACTGGAGCACCCTCTTCTGGTAAAACACAGATGCTAGTATTGGCAGGGGATGTGATGGATCACACCTTTAATCTGTTGCTTTTCAAACAAGCTATATATTATGTTAAATACTTTTTCAAACCACCTACAAAATGTCATGCCACAAGTATTTGTGCAACAACTTTTTGTTTACTATATTTACTGGAGCTTCCACACTTTCTGGCTGATATTGCTAAATGTACTCATTTGAGTACGGCTGTATATTAGGCATGACGCCAGGTGAAACACAAAGAAATAGGAAAAGTCTCTGTAAACACTGATGGTGAATACACCGAGTATATTTAAAAACAGAGCAAGTGTTATATGCATAATATATGATTACTCTTTATGCTAATATCTAAAACACACTTGAGGCTAAAATTGCCAAAAAAGCTATATAGATAAATGCCTACGGCTATTAGATTAAGTAATGCTAATCACCCATACCTCAGGCAGCTGCACACACACAGATACACACACACACATACACAGGTAAATAAACGCAGACATTTTTCAGTGTAAAGCCTCATAATCATCATTCTTCGAGAACGCTAAATGGGTACAGGTTTTCATTCATGCAGACCTTCGAGTGCATATGAAAGATGTACAAATATATTTCCATCATCTCTTTGGAGTGACAACAGAGAATAATGGAGAATATATATCAAGGTTAGAGAGGAATGCTACAAGTGAAAGAACAGAGGAAGATACAAAGACTATGTGAAGGTCGTTTAGAATATAACGCGCACCGCAGTCTTTCTTTCTAGCAATGACACAACAAGGCCAGGCTAGTTCAAAAGTTTCAAAACTTTTCCAAGCAGTCTCTATAAGGAGATAGAAAGCAGCGATAATAAGTGTCTGTCACACAGACCAGGTGGACCTGAACTTTAGCATTATTAATTATTGCTTATTAATGCAACTTTGGCATTTAACCTGCAAGGTAAACATGCATGTTATATTGGTATTAACCTCGAGTATGTGTCTTGACTCAAACGTGTGTTCTAATTAACCTAAAGTCATTATGCACAGGCACGCACACACACACACAGTCTAATTACAATGTGGACCACATGTGTTCCTCTTCTCTGCAAGTCTTCCTACAATAATCCATAATCCAGTTCTCACTGCTGTTTGTTAGATGTGATTGCTTTAGATTCATAGACATGCAAACAGAAGTGATTTAGATCAAGTACTCTTCACTAACGATCAGGTCAGTCATGTGTAAAAAGTGTGACAGATGGTTCCTCTAACAGACATGTTTATACATTTGAGGATTCCTTTTGCCCTTAAAATTGAAGCAGCAGATCTGGCATCCTTCACTGAAAAGTGAGCATGCTTTTACAGTTGTTTGTGATTAACATCAAAGAGGATTTAAAATTGAAACATTTATATCAAGCTGATATGTTATTCTTCTGTGCAACAACAATATAATAATTAACGGTCTAGCAGGATATCATTGGTCTGACTGCTTTGGATAGATCCGTTTGTGTCTTGCACAGCCTCTGTTTAATTTCACTCATCAGTGTTGCCATTTTCTACAGTACTTTGTCCCTTCTAAATCATTAAACCCATGACCTCCTAAGCATGTGAGCCCTGCCTTCATTCACTGCTTCTGCCAAGCTGAAAGCCCACTAAGTAACTTAAATAGCCAGTCAGACCCAAAGAATAGGACCTTCGGGGCAGTGCTCAAGTACATTTTATTGATGATTACTGAATCTTTTTATTCAGCAAACTCCATCTTCATCTTTCTGTCCATCCATCTGTATGGATCTATTGACATTAGAACAACTGGTTTCCCAGTTGATTGTAGCAGTGCATTTCTTACTTTTATTGCACATAAGCATTCATGTAGGCCTGCTTTTGGCCTTCTGAACCCTTCGACACAATTTTCCTGGGATTGATCAGCTCAACGTCGTATTCGTCTCGAGTGGCAGGATAACAGCAGTCCTCATCACAAGAGCTTGGACAAGATCCACTACAAACCTAAAGACTTTAAAGTTGCAGAAAAAGAAAGTTGCACAAGTAACTGTAAATTAAACTATTTACCCAGTCTGTCTGTGGCTGCATTCCCCTCTTCGAAAGCAGGCACACATGAGTTTCAATCAGTTCAGAGGATTTTATACTGGCAATATTTTCCTGAAAATATAGCTAACTACTGTTTGCTAGTGGTGTAATTCTTCAAAACCACTGTTAAGTTTATACCTTGATTTTTTTTTTTTTGAAGTGATGAAAAAAATAAAGAAGAAAAAAAAGTCCACTCTCATAGTTAAGGTGCAAAGTAGGAATGATGTTGGAATACATTTGTGGTCACAGATTGAGAATTACTGTATCCCATAATCATTCCTGCATATTTAGTGCGGCCATGCAAAATACCACCTTCATACAATTAAAATCTTCAAGTCACCGGCCCTTAAATTACACAAGCTTAGGTCAAGATATTGCTTTTTTATTTAGACCTTTTAAAGAACAGTGACCAGCTACGTGACATTTTCACTGCTGAAAGAAGAAAAACGCTGGAAAAATAAGACAAACGATAGATATAAAAATGGGTGCATTAAATCTAGTGATAGCTGGAATAGGCTTCAAGCCCCCTACTCCACGCAACCCTGAAATGGTTAAGTAGGAGAAAATGGATGGATGATACCTCTAATTCAGAGCAAAGGTAAAGATCTAAACCTCAAACCAAGTCTTCATACTATTTTTTTTTTCATACTAAATTTTAATGATTGATGTTTTGGGAATTTCCCGGTCTAAAAAGAGAGATCGTGACAATGTAATTGTGTAAACAGGTCCATGTTCCCACTACATGAGTAATACATTACACACACTCTTCTGAGCAGTGAACATGAAGTGCCTTAAATCACACGAATGTGTTACAAACAATAAGTATTAAGTATTTATACTGTGTTCACCACACACACACACAGATAATGTGATGTTGATCATCACGACTGAAATTAGCTGTGCAGCACTAAGTTAAACCACAACATTCCAACATACACACAAACACACACGTTTCAGTTCATTTGGGAGAGAGAAAGCGAGAGGAGAAAGCACTTATTTAATGTTAATCAAATCTCTGCTTCCCAGCAAAGCTGTACAAAAGCTTCTTCTCTTTGAGAAGCCTTAACCTAGCCTAGTGTATCACATTTAATACATGCAGTTCTTTGACACTTCTACATCATCAGTGTGATTTTTACCCCCTGAAAAAACAAAATAAATTGCACAGCCAGATGTAGCGAATACAATACAATTCAAAAGTCATTCACGGAAATTCCAATTTCATTAATTTTATTTAAAACAAATTTGTCAGATGGTTCAATAAACTCTCCATTTTCAAAAATTAGAATTTTCAAGGTTCAGGCTTCATGGGGTTAAACCAAAAAGCACCTGGCTGCTCTACATCTACATGGTTTGCTCAGGAGAATTCTGGTTTATACTGCCCTCATCTCCCACTACCCTAATCTACTTCTTGTTCATTCATATTACGAAATACTGCACGTTAACATCAAGCATTTATCCTCATTATTATTAATATTATTGTTATTAAAATATTGTTTTATTTGAAGCTACTATATCTAGATTTGAAGCTACATGCAGATTTTCTTGTAGATTACACGGATGTCAAACTCACTAAGACTCACAGCCATCTGGCACTATGAAAGCTGGTAGGCACGTATTCACAGATTTATACTTGGATTTGTGCAGTTTTGTTTTGTTTTTTTTCTGTTTGGTTTCACCAGAACAAAATACAAACTAATTCTATAAACAAGTATTTACTATCTTACTATAGCCTGATAAAAGTTTTCAATTATCTGAAACTGTTGGAAACAGTGAAATTAGACTGGGTGATATTTATTAACACGGGAATGGAAACTGTAGCTTATTTAACACTGGTACACAATTCTCCTGCCATAAATATTTAATGCGCGCAAACCCGAAGTGGGAAATAGTGCCCTACATGCACCATTTACTGTTTGAGTAAGATTTGCTAAGTAAGTATATAATGCCTAGTCTGTCAGACAAAGTTTTATTCTAAAAATTAAACAATCTATGAATACGTACTCACTGGACACATTATAACTGCTCAGCCAATCAAATTTCAGCAGTACATTGCACTTAGTCATTTAGACATAGTCAAGATGACCAGCTGAAGTTTAAATTGAGCATCAGTGCAGCGAAGAAAGTTACTTAGAAGGTGGTATGGTTATTGGTTTCAGACGAGCTTGTCTAAGTATTTCATAAATTGCTGATCAACTGGGATTTTCCCATACAGCCATCTTTAGATCTACAGAGAATGATCTAAAAAAGAGGAAATATCCAGTCAGCAGCAGTTCTCTGGGCAAAAATCTCTTGTTTAATGCTGGTCAGAGGAGAATGATTCCTCTGAGTTGGTCAGAAGGCGACTCAAAATCCACTTGTTATAACACGAAAAACCTTGAAAACCTTTTCCTTGAAAAACAGGAAATGGAGCCAACAGAAGATTGGAAAATAAACATCACCAAATAAGCACTGTTTAAATACATCAGTCTGCCTGAACCATGTCCATCCCTATGCATGTATGACCACACCTATCTTCTAAAGGCTGCTTCCAGCAAGGTAACGAACCATCTCACAAAGCTCAGATAATATCCGACTGGTTTCTTGAACGTGACAATGTGTTCACTGTATTCAAAAAGCCTGAAAAGGGAGATTCACAGGACGGATATGCAGTAAATTTGCAGCAACTGTGTGATGCTATCATGGCAGTAGTAATCACTGAGAAAATGTTTCTAGCACCTTATTGAATCTACACCACAAAGAATTAAAACTGCTGTGAAGACAAAAGTCCAACCCAATGCCAGCAAGGTATACCAAAAGAAGTGAATGGCATGTTTATATGCGCTGCACTGACATCTTCAGTATGAGAAACGTGGGCTTAGCGTTAAGAGCAATAGACGGGGCATGGAAGCTGTATGGCAATTATAAGCAGGCTCAAATGCATCTTTGTTTAGAAACACGATCTGCAAAGCATCAAGAATTAAATTACATTCTATCCCTGCCTGGTGCATACTTTAATGCAAACTGTATTAGTAACCCACAACTGATAAAATATCTCTAATTGTTGCTCACTTCAGTGGCACAACCACACTTAGACCAATTCTCTTCAGTTGGCCTTTTTAGCCTGGCATCAAAATTCATACAATGGAGAAAATTGCCAGGTGGATTATTCCTGTGGTTTCGACGTTATGAATCCGTCGACGTTATGAAACACACACAAACACTCGATGCAGCGTGGTGGCTGTTCTGTAACTTTACAGACACTGTAAGTAACATCCCTGGAGTCTCTGAGCTTAATATATGTCCTTGACCAAGAAAGTTGAGTGGCACAGCGTTCAGTGCTGTAGCACAATCATTGCTTCTACTATTCGTGGAAAATAGGCATAGACAAATACTTACACTGAAAGAATATATCGTCAGAGTATTCAAATCCTTCACCTTTTGCATGCTTTATGGCATTCAGCTAGTAGGGTACAGTATAGAAAAGGAGACCCTGTTTTTGTAAAGGTACCACAGTTCACACACTGGTAAATAAGGCACTGATCAGAGCAAGGATATATCTTATCCTTTGATTCTTCCACAAAGCCCTCAATAAATCGGAAAAAAGATTAAGCCTGGATCCTGCAGCATATTCCTAGACAAACTGAGTAGCTTAGAGGAAGGGTCACAGTCAAGGAGGCAACCCAGTAGTTGCCCTAAATGAGGTTTAGAAGTCCTCTACAGAGACTGGGGCAGTTGAAAGGATAACAGAACTCTATCAATTAGTAAAAGATCAAGACAACAATGAAATGGCTTCAGGACAAGTTTCTGACTGTGACTGGTGCAGCCAAAGGGCAAATGGAGCTTGAGAGGATCTGTCAGGAAGATTAAAATAAACTGACCAAATCCAGGTGTGTAAAGCCTGTAGAGGCTTAACCAAGAAGACTCAAGAATGCACTGGCTCCCAAGTGTCTGAAAAGATCTGAAATCCTTTGTAAATAAATTTTCTTTTGTTTTATGCATATATTTGTTTACTTCATCCTTATGGGTTATTGAGTATTTACCGATATGAAAAACATTACAATGAAGTCCAATAAAGGATTGTGCACATGCTGGATTTCTCAGACCTACTTCACAGACAACAGATGTACAGTGCAAGATTTTTGAGTTATTCCTAATAGAATATTTATGTATAATTTTAGTTTTTTTAGACAACAAAAATCACTAGTCTAAAGCGTATTAAGAAAGCCAACACACTCAGCTGAGAAGCTAGCTCTGGTGCCTGCCGTATAATGTAAATGCATCAAAGAGCCATTAACCACCATGTCCTTGATTTTTCACCCTGCTACTGAATGGGACATTTCTCTACTGTACTAGCACTAAACATCTACACTGGATGTAAACTGTATAACGCACAGGGCTACAACACAAATGCAATTCCCTTCATTCTCCAAGCAAATAGTCCATAAATGTTATTTATGTTTTTCCTGAAACAAGTGTTTGTACCTGGTTGTAGAGCGCACACACATGCAGAGCCGTGTTTCCAGATGCATTTTGAGCACTCATGTCGGCTCCATAGAATAGCAGGTGTTCCAAATGCTGCACATGGCCATAGCGACATGCCTGAAAGGACAGAGATAAAACATTTACACTAACAGAGTCAAAAAGAAGTAAACACGGTCTCTGGGAAAAGAATGCAAATTAATGGGATAACAGTGATATATGTAGGGAAATGAAATGTTTTAAAGAATGACAAAGTCCAGAAATGAACCACAGATGCAATCTGCATTTGCAACTTAAATAAGTAAATTAGTCAATTTTCGGGTCTTAAAGTTCATCAAGAGCCAAAGGGCAATAATCGCTGTATTAAAATAGTCCAAAATAACAGGCAAATGTAGCAATTTCGCCAACAAGGTAACAGAGACTTGTTGCTTGTTAAATGCCCCATCACCCCTGCAAGGAACTGTTTTAAGCCAAGAAAAATCTCTCTTTAAAATGGCCAAATTAATATAATGTAACCTTAATCTTTTCTTCATCACAACATACAACTGTATACTGGAATAGTTTGAATTTATCATAATCATAATACAAAGAGAAGCCAAGATATCTTTCTATGTCTTTATACAGATTATCTAAATGGTTGAAAGCTAATCTTCAGACCATGCTTTTCCTTGAGCTAATTCCTTTCTAAAAAATATTCTCACCTATGCTAACAGTTTCTAAACAGAAGAGGAAATCTTATTTGCATCACCTAAGGCTAAATGAAATCTGTGAAGCTCTTCTGGCAAGAGTTATGCCTTTTCCTACTTTTTCTGCTTCTTGTTTCACATAACTCTGAGCAATAAACTTTTCATCTAATCTCTATCTTTTCCTTCTTCTTTTTTGTCTCCAAATCTGCGGTTTGTGCGCCTTACTGACAAAGAGGTACACGATTCTCCCCAGCAATTGTTCTCTCACTTCTGTATTCTGTCTCGCTAACAGTGTGTGACAGCAGTGCGAATGTGCACAAATGATTCTGGGATTGTTGTTGGTTATCAGCCCTTTTGCAGTGTATCCTATTGTACACAATACATGCCCAAGGAATGCTAATGCTCGGAAGGGCACAGAGAAGGGGAGAGATGTGGAAGGAGAGTTAAAATGAAAGGATTGGAGTAAAAGTGTGATGGACTGAAGAATTCTTAGATTTACTTTATTTTTGAGTAATAGTGAAAACATACATAAGAACAAATAACTGTAAAAGCATCTTTGCTCTCTTATCCTAAACCCCCTCTATATTTTCAGCAAAGAGACTTCCTGGGTGATTTCACTAAACTCTTTTACGCAATCTTGTCATGAATTGCTTTTTAACACCACTTCCTTAAAAAGTAAGAAGGTGTGTGATGGTGAGATGTGGTTATTAGCATAATCTGCGCTAAAGTTGCTTTGTGGATGTCTTTCTTGGGCTGTGTGGCCAGGCCCCGGAAGGCCATACACAAAACCACAGATGCAGTAAAACAGTAAAAAGTTTATTCTAAATTCATTCAAGTGTCCTTGGGTAAAATACGGAACTCCAAGTTTCTCTGCTGTAATTGGTGTGTCAGTGTTTGTGTGAACGGTTGAAAGAAAAGTGCATGATAAAGAGCTTTGTACAAGCAGTATGCTTGAGAAGTAAGTAAGTGTAGACTGTTTTGACATTTCACTACAGAAATGTAGAGGCTGAGTGAATGCCATAAAATCTCTTAAACAGCATCTAGATATCCCTTCGCGTATGAGGCCTTTTCGTCTTTCCAGTACAGCGAGCTTCCTTTGAGCTGACATGTTCAATAAAACCCTCTCAAACACAAAGGCTGGTTTAGTTCACAAATAACTTTTACATTTCGTTTAAGACTTTTATTAATTTTGTTTATTATCCTTGGAAACAAAGTTCACTTTAACTAATCTCTGCAATCAAAAACAAATTGAGAATGTTTGATCTTGCTCATAATAACTTCCAAGTAAGAATAATTGCAATACCTTGAGATCAAACACACTTAAGCAGTGTTGTCTAAGTAACTATGGAGAAAAAGAAAAACAGACAGATGAAGGTGAAATTCATGTCAACATGTAATAAAAAAGGTTTGTGTGGGAGACAGGCAAACAGATACTGACATGATCCACGCAGCCCCTCTTTAATGATCCGCGTTCCTCTTGGTCCTAACTTCAAATTTCTTATTATATTCATGGGAGGAATACACAACCCCCCCCCCTTCCTAATATAAAGCCATAAACATTTGTGAAGACAAAGAAGGTTCCCATTCAAATACACTAAGCTTGATTCTGTTACTATGTTGCCACTCAACATTTGACATGCAAGAACTTTCAGACATAAAAATCCTGACACAAATAAAAACACTATATAGGGACTATGCATTATCTTTATAGGGCATGACAAGCCTGTATATGTGTGTGTGTGTGTGTGTGTGTGTCTAACATTATGTTGGCAGCACATTGTAAATAAATAATAATAATAAATAAAATTCTACACTTTAGTCATATAGGAACACTGTACCTCTCCATTGGTAGGTACAAACGCAGATTAAATTAATGGCTAGCTATGTAATATATATATATAAAATTATAGAATATTTTGTGGGGGTTATTTCTACTAATAGTAAGCAGGTAGTAAATACAGTAAAAAAAATACTGTCGAAATACTAAAAGTATCCATAAATGACTCAATGTGTATTTACAGCCACTTTAGGTTGGTAATAACTCAGACACAACTGCATATTTTCTAGGACAGTAGGCAACAAGTGGTTAAAAGCACTTCGATTTGCCCATTAATTTAAGCAACCTTACTTATTTTTCACGGGCTTTCTTGGCCAAAGCCCAAGTTTAATAATGTGCTTTCTATAAACTAGGCTATTACTTTCCAGGTCTTCTTATACAGTTATTGTTCATGGCTATACTCTTTTATAAAAGGTCTACAATCAGACTCAGTAAGTCTTTCCACCTGTGTACTCTTTACACGTGCTTTGGAAGAGGTATATTCATCATTAAAACAAGTAGAAAAACAAAATCAGCACCATGGACAGTTTCAGGAGGGAGGGAAGCAGGTGCAAAATATGACATGAACTTCTCCATAAAGCGAGCAAGATATGTGTGTACATAAGTATATGTGCATAATACTTCAATATAACTGCGGTAATGACTGTCCCAAACAATTGGAAGCCCAAATTTCACAGGTCCTGAGCCTCAGTTATGTATAAACAGTAGCTCAGTTTGTTTTTTGTTATTTTCGGAGGCAATCTGTGCTCAGAGATTTCTGTTGACACTCCTGCAGATTATTTGCGCACCGGGAGACACACTTCATAAAACTCAGATTGATCTCCCCTCTCACCAGCTTTCCCAGTGTGCCCTACTACAGTTATTTGTTGACTCACATTCGCACCCACTTCACACATATGTTGGTGAGTTGTCCAGAGGTGACATAAGAGCCTGGACCTGTCTAGCATTATGTGGACAATTTACACTGCCTATACAACAACGGTGTCAGTAGTTTGTCTTAAAAGATTAGCCAAAACCTCTAACGTACAGGTCTCATGCCTTTTTGATAGTATATACTAGTGCTGTCAAAATTAACGTGTTAACGTAAACTAATCCGCCATTACGGTCAACGCGATTACAATGTCCAAGTGGAGTTAGCCTCGCACGTGCGCAAATGGGCAGTAGATCTGGTAGTGACGGGCAGCTGAAACAATCAACTCAATATGGAAGATGATAAACGCACATTTGCCCTATCGATGGGAAATTTGAGTATTAAAAAAATAACAAGACAGAACAGTTGACCGACATAAAGTATTATGCACATTGTGCAAGAAGGAATTTTCTTTTCGCCAAAGCACTTCCAGCCTAAAATATCACATTGACGCGAAGCACACGTTAATCGGGAATGCTGCTCGGACTTTGGCTAACGTGTCAGCCAGCTTGCCACAAACCACTCACGGAGCATCGGGGACTCAGTAAGTCTATCTCTGACATATTGACTGACACAATTGCCAAGTGGACTGCAACAAACTACTGACCTATTAATTATTGTTGAGAATACGCGCTTTAAAAAGCTTTGGTTTCAAGGACTTGAAGCGCCTCCCCAAGAGTGACAGAGAGAGAGAGAGTGGATACATTTTGTTAACATGAATGTTCAAGATGTTCAACAAACATCTTAAGTGCGTATATTTTCCCTTTTTTCTCGAGTCTGTTTGCTCATGCAAAATGAAATTAGATTAATATAGAATAAAAATGAAGGATATTTACTCAGAATCAGAGAGACTTTATTTATCCCCAAGGGGCAATTAAGATACAACAGAGCAGCATGATGCTAAAAATAAGGACAGGGCATAAACAGGAAATAAGAATGAGATTTAAAAAAAAATACTTAAAATATACAGTATATACACAGTTTTAAAATTACATTGACTGAATACGTGAGTAAATAACTGTAAGTGACTAAAGGTGAATAAAGTGTCGACAGAATAAAAATATTAATTGTGATTTAAATTGTGATTAATCAAAATTAATCCACTGTAACCCTGTGATGAATCTGATTAAACATTTTAATTGTTTGACAGCACTAATACATATTATATATTAGTGTATACTTACCAATTATTATATAGGTTTTTTAAAAAGATGTATTTCACAGGAGAGAACCTGTGTTAAAAGATTCAAGAAATCTATTCAAATTCTCTTTGAATTTAAGGATACATTCTTTGTGTTTATTCTGCATTTACTTTATTGTATTGCATAAATGTCAGTTACAAGCTTAAATATAAAGTTGAAAAAATGTAATTGCAACCAGGCTATTGATCAAGTAATTGCGATTAATCGCGATTAATTACAGAAAATTGTGAGATTAATTCCATCATTTTTTTTAATCTATTGACAGCGCTAGTATATCCCTAATACAATGCTTTTGTTAAACTGATTTTATATAAAGAGTCACAGGTTTTCAAAACTATAAAATAGTCTGTACACAGCCCTACAACGTTATCTGTGTGTATGTGTGTGCATGCAAGTGCGCATGTCTGAGCAGAACAGTTTAAGTCCAAAACCATTATAGTGAAGACACTTTCTGTCCTGAAGATTTCAAGGTTTTAAGGCTTAAGATTCAGCTATTTGGCTGTGGTTAATTTGGTTTAGGGTAAAAATGTGGTTTGGGTTAGGGCAGTGGTTCCCAAACTCTTTTTGCTGGCCCCCTTTGATTTACAAGAAAAATGTTCGGCCCCCCCACGCGCGCACACGCACAAACACATCCTCCAACCACACACACCCATATTTTGCTCCACTGCGGTTTATTTCACACCTCAAACATTTAGTAAACAATTGAGCAAATACAAGTAAACTGCAATAAATGACAGGTAGTAATAAAATAAACTACTAACTCTTTTACGCTACGTCCGCACCTATATGGGTATTTTTGAAAACCAAGCTGTTTCGTCCACACGTAAACGGTGTTTCGAATCACCGAAAACTGAGATTTTTTAAAACTCCCTTTTTGCGTTTACGTGTGGACGAGGAATACAGAGTTCGTCACGCAACGTCAAAGGTATGTGCCTTTTTTCACGTCACGCTGTGCGCCACGTTATTGTTTACATGAGATGAATTGCAGAGAGACAAAATACTGTTACTGTTAATCTGACTATCTGCAGGTTTTACACGCTTACATACACACACAGTTACTGTCCCTCCATTTAGAAAGGCAGAGGCGTCACGGTGTAATTATTTTACCTGTAGTTGTTTTTTTTTCCTGTGTAATAATATTCATCATTGTTATCAATACATTTTTCAAAAAATGCCTCTCTGTGCAAAATGGGTTTAAACACATAAACAGCTGTAGGATATTGTTAGTCCGTGATTTGAACCGGGGGAACAAATCGTGGCAGGATCAGCCTGATATTATTTGTATCCCGCTGTAACTTTACTGTATAAAGAGCTAACATCTCCAAAATGTCAGGAGTAATTAGTCATTACAACAAGTGTTTGTGAACTAAAAATCAAGAATGTGGGATACTGTTTGTCCCTGATTTGAAGAGCCCAGCACGTGCTCCCGACGAAGGGAAAACCAATTATGCAGGGGAGACCTACCTTGGCACTTGTGCAGGTGAAACCAAAGGGAAGATATGCTTCACCATATTTTCTAGTCTTTGGCTTAGAATGAAGTTGGTTTGGAAACATATTCAGCTATGCTTCATCTCCTGCTTTGCGTTTCTGTAGTGTCCAAGCGTTTTGTTCCCCCCACTTTTCATACCGCGCCCCCCCTGCCATGGCTCTGCGCCCCCCCTAGGGGGCGGGCCCCACACTTTGGGAAGGTCTGGGTTAGGGTAATGTGTGTATTACTGTGTATTACCTGGTGTATCTCCTGCCAGCCATTCTCATCCACACAGCCGACCTGTGCATGATCATGCAGCAGCAGCTCACAGCAGTAGGGATCTCCTCCTACCATCGAACTGTGGTAGAGAGGAGTTAGCCCCCTGCTGTCTTTATAGTCAGGAGATGCACCCAAGTCCAACAGCGTCTAGTGGGAAAAGAGGCAAGTTTAAGGTTTTAAGTCACCAGTTTTGGTTGAATTTTCACAGTGAAATGGGAAGATAAAAGAGACCTTTGCATGGATGAATAACAATAACCAAAAATAATAAATAAGAATTAAAATACAAGTTAATGTTTACACTTTACTAGTTAAAGATACAAGATAAAAGCTATTTTAAAGTTGTTTTCTATTGCTGTTATGACGCTAAGAATATCAGCATTAGGGCTACCACAAACGATTATTTTGATAATCGACTAGTCACCGATTATTTTTGCAATTAGTCGACTAATCAGATCATGCATCCATTGAGCATAAAACATACAGCTTATTGCACCAGAATGCATCTGCTCTTATATAACTATCATTAGCTTACAGCTTTAAGTGTTTAAGATATGTGCTAACTAAAAATAAAGACAAGATGATAGTTTATTAAATTTTAATGAAGTTTGCAGATTGCTTCGGTGGAGTTTAATAAACTCAGCCGTCTGATCCTTGCTATCTAAAATATAACTGGACACCGGAGTATATTCTCAAGCATCTCACACTTCTGATAATCAGCTGTCTGCTTGACGTTTATTCAGCTGTGTAAAAACTATAACTTTAATCTCAGCCAAACCGATTTACTCAGGAACAAATAAAATACTGAAAAAAGCCAAACAATAAGATTTTTAAGTTATCTAAGTGATTTGTATATGTTTAACCTGAGTAGCGAAAGATAGCAGTGGGTGTGAAAACGAGTCCACTGGCTCTAGTGAGCCTGTAACCCCGGCTAGCTAAGAAGCTAGTGGGTAACAGACATCTCTGAAAACGTCGGAGCGCTTTTGAAAATATGCGGTGTCTTGATAAACTGAGCAGATATCTGAGGTTTACACCGCTACATTCTCATCTGAAAATATGTTAAACGTTTATTTTGTGACCCAGAAAGAATAATAAGAGTAACATTAAAACTAAGTAGCTGCCGCCATTGTTGGAAACTGCGCTGGGCCGCGCTATGAACTCTGGGACACAGTTTCTTCTTCTTCGGCGTTTAACGGCAACTGGCATCCTTGTACATGCAGTGCTGCCATCTTCTGTTTCAGTCCGTTATTACACTCTTAAATCCTGCTACTTATTCCTGCGGCTTTTGTGATCTTACAAAGCTTCAAACGATGCGTCGACTATTAAATCAGTCGTCGACGATTTTGATAATCGACGTAATTGTGACTAGTCGACTAATCGTGGCAGCCCTAATCAGCATCCTCCTTTCCTCCCACTTATTTTCCTTCCAATTCTTGAATTCTGTCACCCTAAAGGTCTCACTTAATTCCATCCATCCATTCATGCTGTCATAAGCTGATAGCATGAAGCTGTCATAGGCTGAGAGATCAGGCACACACTGGACAGGCTGCCAGTTCTTTATACTGTTTAACATTAAATTTATAATTCTTGTGTGTTCAAATGCTGAACCTTGCATGTTCAGGCACCTGTTTATGTTAAAGAGCTACTGTAGGCTTATAATAGAAAGCCAGTAGAAAGCTGACATCATCCAATCAAGGCTTGTTGAGAGGCTCAGGAAAAAGCTGGCAGTACTTTTTAGGCTGTAGCTACTGCAATTTGTAACTCTCTCCTATTGGATCTTTAGGATCATTCAATACCATAACTGTGGTATCAAAAGTGGAAATAACTCATTCCAGTTTCAACAGTTCAGTTTCAACAGGAAACATGACTCACACAACCCATTTCATTTGGGTTACAAGCCTCCTCAAACCAGACACATGCAAGGCCATTCAGTGATTCAGTGATTATGTCAGCATATTCAAAGTTCAATCTCACACATTTAGTAAGTGCCCTCTGTGCTCGATAGCTCAAGCACCTGCTGCCAGACATTACCTGCCCATACATTCTCCTTTTCTAGACGGGGAGTTTGCATGAATGTGGTTGAGCCGGCTGAACTGTATATACGTGTGAAATGTGCTCACTATAAGTGCTGTATGGTTTTTGCTGCGCACGGCCTTGTGCAGAGCAGTAATCCCATCTTTTGTTCTGAAGTCCAGATGTGCCCCTCCACTTTTCAGCACCTTGATGAGCTCTGCACAGCTCTCCAGCTGTGCTGCTAGCGTTAGAGGACATTCTGCAAGCACAAGGAAGCAAAGAACACTTTTGAAAACTCAGCTTATTTCCACTGACATTATTGTGCATTCTTCCCCCAAAACATCCACCACTTGAATCGCTGCATTTTTTTTGGGACAAAATTGTCTGTGGCTTTACATTTTCAATGACTCTGCAGTTGGATCACTGCCTTTTTCAGTCGAGATTGTCACCCTCCTGTCTGCTGGCTGCTTCCAGTTGGTGTTAAATCAGCCTATTCTCATGTTTCCCTCACTTCGCAGCTCATCTGCTACACTACAGGTCACCCAGCATTGAAATCTCCTTTATGACTGGACAAACATTTGCATATACACGAGGAGATTAGCAAAGAGAGTAATCCAGCTTTACCCGCTATGCAGAAGGCTTATTTCAGAAAATCCATATATGGTCATTTGTGATGAAGACAGAAGGAGAGAAATGACAAATCAAGGATGGAGAAAAACAATCATCAACAATAAGTAAACTCAAGTATGGCAGGGATGGAAATCTTAGCAGACTTGCTCACCTCCTGTGTCTGGATCATGGAAGTTAGGGTCCAGGCCTTTTTCCAGGAACCTTGAGACCTTTTCAATGTTCCTCTGCTGCACATACTCCATGAATTTCTTCAGGTTTGCCTAATGGAGGGAGACAAGGGAACGGGGAGTAGGGGAAGAGGAGGAAGAAACAGCTGTGATTGGATGATGTCAGACTCCTGTGGATGGGGATGTTTAATAATGCAGTCCAGAGATGAAAGCTGAAGTCATTGCTTACTCTCCTTCTGTGTTTGAAGGTTTTATTTCTGTTCAGTCATGGCAAGCTAATGGAACATGTTCAGAAGATACGGTATATAAGCTATTATAGGACAGACCAAAAAAAGAAATGGACAGAGCTGCAAAACAGCACTGAAAGGGAGAGTTTTCCTTTGGAGATTAGCGGCAAGAAAATGAGATCCTGAGGCTAACGTCATATTTTGAGTTCAGATGTAATGGTTATAACACACACACACACACACACACACACACACACACACACACACACAACAATGGCACAACAATGGCTCTTAATGTTTAAAACCACTTTCATAAAACAAGCACACAGTCGGAAGCACAAGCTCACATGTAAATCATATCCACTCTAAAATACACAGACACACACATGCACACAAAACACTTAATTTCCTTTGTGACTTATGATTAAAAATATTCATCACCTTTACCAATACGAGTGCAAGCCTGTAGAGTATAAAGCGAGAAATGAAGCTGTGAGCAAGGCACCAGTGCTAACACTTCATAATAGATTAAAATAGTCTGACGAATCAGGGCAACAATAAATCTAAAATGCAAAAGTGAAGCCTAGAATTGTACCAATAAGAATGTACTGTAGTTACAGAAGACAAAAGGAATTATTGAGAGAAATTGACCAAACAAAATTTTAATACTGAACACATAAACTGTCAATAAAAAACATGGATGATTGCCTAATATCATCTCCAGGATGTAATTATAAAATATCTGCAGCATCCCAAATGAGATTTACAGAGAACTTTCATTACTCCTTCATTCTCTCAAGGTCTTCCAGTTTCTCTCATTACATAATATCTGCATGTGCTAAAGCCTCGAGACTCATAAACTCATTACATTTCACACAACTTAATGAAGACATGTAACGCAACAAATTTAAACGCGTGCTTACCAACACGAGCACTCACATGCAGTAACGAGAACAAAAAGCAGCAGCCATTTGACACTCACCATGTGCAGCATCATATACTGTTTATCCCACGCTCTGAAAGTCACTCGATACAACACCTTCCAAAATTTCACATCACACACCTCCTTTCTCTTCTCACCAAGTCATCTGCAACCCGCTTGCCTCTACAAGCCCGTGTCTTGTAGACAGACACCACTGACATGCTGTGAGCAGCTGCCGACTGCTACTCTCACTATCTCCAAGTCAAACTGAGAGAAATTCACTTTGGCTTTTCCCTTTTTTTTTCTTTTTTTTTTACAACGTTCAGAGAGGCAGTTGTTATGGTGATGGGATACAAAGACAGCTCTGGCAGCCAATGTACACGAGTGGGAAGAGCATTGAGGTTGGGTTTGTGAATGTGTTACGAACGAGTGTGGTTGTGTGTCCTGCATAAAACCTAGGATAATGCCTTGAAGAGGCTCAGGGATGATTTGCCAGTGATCAGCTGGATCTGATGTGTGTTTTATTGCCTGTTGAACAGAAGACAGACAAAAAGCCTGGATAATGATTTATTTGCTTTGGTGAAGGTCTTAATGAACTCTTTATATTCTTCTCCCTTTTGCTGTCTTTCTGTCACACAAAGAAGGATGCACACTTTTTTATTTTCTCGACATGCTGACATTTGACTAAAAATTCTGAAAATAATTAAAATGGTGACAGTCTGTCATACATCAAATTAAAACGCCAAACCGCTGCGACTAAACTCAGTATGCTTTGCCTGTAAGGCCAGTAATTTGCCATAATACAAATGAAAATACATTTTAATAATCTCTACCTTGAAAACAAAGGTCAAAAGATTTTGTTCAGTTATTCCAAAATATCTGCTAAATATCAAACAGACAGTTTATTTACAACCCAACCAGATTAGCGTGACTTGGTCTACAAATCTATCACAATGAAGTGAAATGATGACATGACATGGCTTGCTAATGTTAACTGAGTGCCACAACTAAACAAGCATAAAGGTAAAGAAAAAAAGTAGGCAAGACAGATTTACAGTACAGCTCGACCAAAAATACTCCACAAATCATCCTGATTTTATCTTTGGGCCAGATAAAAAAATAATCAAACTTTAATCTCTGCACCTCTTTTATGTCTCCTCCTTTAGATGTTGCAATTCTCTTTCTTCCCGAATAAGTTAAAAACTTCCTGTCATCTTTCCAGCTTGAACAAAATACTGAAGAAAAGACTTCAGTGGGCTCAAGGAGAGCATTCATCAATTTACTTCAACCATTTGTGCACTGATTACCTATTACTTTTACTAGGAACCACTTAACAGTAGATAAGTCTATCGTCTACATGTCTGTGAAGGTTCTCAGTCATCCAGGTCATCGTAGTCAAAGGAGCTTGCAAAGAAAAGCGTCTGGACTTCTTTAAGTTGCTTGAAGACGTTTCACCTCTCATCCGAGAAGCTTCTTCAGTTCTAAGGTCAAATGGTGGAGAGTCCCAGATATTAACCTAGTGGGAGTGACCCCCCACAGAGGGACAAAAGGACCCCCTGATGATCCTCTAATCGCCTGAGCCAAGGTGTGAAACTGGGTGTGGGTCCCAATCAGCCAGAGTTTCGGGTGTGTTCATTGTGAAACCTGGCCCCACCTTATCATGCGAATTCCTGAGGTCAGATGGCCCAGGATGTGAGTGGGCGTTAAGGTGTCTGGGAAGGGATCTCAAAACTGGATTATAGATGGCAGAGAGCTGCCTCTGTTCAAAGATGGTCGCTCACAGGACCCACACCCAGTTTCACACCTTGGCTCAGGCGATTAGAGGATCATCAGGGGGTCCTTTTGTCCCTCTGTGGGGGGATACTCCCACTAGGCTTATATCTGGGACTCTCCACCATTTGACCTCAGAACTGAAGAAGCTTCTCGGATGAGAGGTGAAACGTCTTCAAGCAACTTAAAGAAGTCCAGACGCTTTTCTTTGCAAGCTCCTTTGACTCTATCGTCTACATTTTTACTTCATTATGCAAGATTGTGCATATACACAGAGCAGACTGGCACATGAAATAAGAGTCTCCTCCATAGTAGTGTGTTCACATTTCATTCAATCATTTGCCAAGGCTCATTTACACATTACTGTGGCAAGTCTTCCTTATTAGTCACTGGTTATCATTGATCCAGTCTTAGATATAGTATTCTTTCCATTGTTTTCCAGAAAGAACAATAGTGGAAAAACCAAAATTTAATACTCAACATACAAACAATGAAAAAAAAACAGAAAAATCAGCAAATGAGAGAGAGAGAAAGAGAGCAATGGCGAATAAGAAAGCACAGGCAGATGAGTGTCAGAGGTGATTTCCAAAAGAAGGATTGAAAGAGAGAAAGCTACAAGAAGATAGAGAGGCCTGCTATGATGTATGGTTCGGAGATGGAGGGACTGACAAAATCCAGGAGTTGAGCATGATAAGATTTGTAAGGGTTTTATAATTTATAAGAGTAAGATAAGACCCATATGAGATATATGGGTCTCGGACCCAGCGTTTTTGAGTTTATTCTGCATTTTTGAGCTTCTCATGCTAGGTTGTGGTTATTAGTTCTTGTCTGCGTCTCCATGTTTCCTGTTTTATTTTGAAAGAGTCTTTTGTTCTTTGCTCATTGTATCTAGTTTCCCTTCCCGCGTCCCGTCATTATGTTAATTTCTGCTGTTTCCCCATGTGTTCCCACTTTCCCTGATCACCTCCTGTTTTCTGTGTTTCATTGTCAGGTCGTCTGTTATTCTAGCCACATTTTTCATAGTCAGTCATAGTTTATCATTGTGTTCACAGTTTTTTTCATAGTTTGCCACAGTTTTCATGGTTTTTGCTGCTTTCAGCCAAAATAAAGGCTCGTCTTTTGTTCTACCTGCAACTCCTCTCTCCGCATCTGCTTTTGGGCCCTGTTCACAACACTGGCGTACCCCGCCGTGACAGTATCATAGGACTGATCAGGTTGAGCAGTTTGGAAAAAAGGCTGAGATGGTTTAGACACGTTTGGAGGGACAAAGGATGTTGATATGGAGTTGCATAAAAAATTCTTGGATGTACTGAAGGAGGACAACAGTAGGCTGGTGTGACAGAAGAGGATGATGGGGATAGAGTGAGATGATCGACTTCAATGACACCTAAAGTGAGAAGGAGAAGAAAAAGAAGGCAAAGAAGAAGAAGCAGTAAATCTGCACACAGTCTGTACACATTTTTTGTTCTCGGCTTGCCTTGCTCATATAAACATCCTTACAGTTCCACAGTTTGCAATCTCAAGAGATATCACCCGAACTGAGCAAAAACATGCACGGTCACATCCCTGCATGCATCAGCTTTACTCATGAGAGCATGGGCAACAACATCACAGTAACCTCTGTCCCTACAGAGGAAAGGTAATCCCAGCAAAGAGAAGCACTGAGAGAACAAATGACATTATTCTGCTCTGCTTCGGCCACACATAGGCCACACATAGGCCACACATAGGCCACACATACATACTGTTTCAATGACAGAATTTTAAAATGTGTTATTTCAAAGTTTCTGCTGCACAAAACGGCTAAACATATTTTCTGTAAGTAGTTACTATAAGTGTCATTAGAATACCTCATGTTGCAAACTGAGTACATGCTAGTTTTTTTTTTATAAGGAATATGTGTCTTGAGCTTTGACTTGAACTTTCAAAATAAGACAAATGGTCAAAGCGGATTTTGTGCATACACTATTACAATAGTGATGAAGCACCCCTGCAGTGTTGGATCAAGAAAACAGAGAATGAGAGAGAGGGTCAGGCAGGAAGAACTGAATGGCAGTATCTATAATCTATGGCAATTTACCAGCTCAATAAATCAAGAATATATCCTCTTGTTCCTGCTTGAGGCTTGGTAATAAGTTGGTAATAAGGGCAGCGTTCTTATTCTTGAACCCACA